AAAAAAGTAAGAATAAATAGTTATTCAATATAAATTTTAAATTTTATAAATAGTTATTCAAATTTTAAAATTTTTTTCATTAAAAAATTTTTTTGGTGATGATCAACAAATGTGCGCATTTTTTATGTAACACACGCGCCCGCACACAATTTCACACACTGGACACAAATATAAATGTGAATTGTATTATATACGCGTTTATTAAAATTTTTTTTGGCAATGATATTCAAGCCAATAAGATTCGATTTTTGTGTGATATTTCGAAGGGAGTTCATCACAAAAATTAGCCAATGAAATCAAATGTCCACTATGCTTGCAAATAAACAATCCTCATTTAAAGAAACATTTCATGCAAAAAAAGGATACCCTTACACTCCCTCTGACCTAGAGCACTTGACTAATAAGACTGCATTGTTTTTGCTAGATTATTTTCACCAAGTCTTCCAAAATATCAATGCTATCACCAGTACAACAAATAGCAAAAGCAAAAGCAAAAGGCAAGGAAAAAAGAAAAAGATAAATATAAAATACTAACTTGCTGTTTTAAACAAAGAGGTTGAAGTAAGATGCTTACCAACAGGTTACAGCGCTGGATTCCCTCCCTCGCCAGGTCTTTGTGATGATTGCCATAAAATTTTAGATGAAAATGGTGCTGGTACTGTATTGATTTGTGGTCATGGTTTTCACTGGCATTGCCATGGTAAAATGGAGTATACATGTTGACATTGTGAAGAGTACTATAAAAATGGAATAAACAAAAATGTTAGTTCATTTTTGCATAGACTTGAAAAAGGTGTTGACACATTTACTGACAATGATGGAATTGAAGAAGTAGAAGAATCTCAAGAAGATTCAGAAGATAATATAGAAGTAGAACAACATTCACAAGAGAAACACAAAATTGCATCCAATTTACAAGATGCATTAGATTACGTAGATAAATGGTAGCAAATTAATAATAACATATGTTTGAAAATTTATATTTTGTTAATTTACCTTTGAAATCAATAGCTTTCTTTGTTAAAAAATAAATATATACATGAATTAGTACTCCATACTTCTTATTCATCTATATACTCATAAATTTTTATAAAATATCTAGTTAATTAATGTCATGTAATCATAATATTCACATTAATTTTTTATGTCACTGATTCATAAACAACTTATCTTAGGCTGAGAGCCATTTCCAAATTGTTCACACATTCACTGATTTAAGATAATTAACCAATGTATTCTTCATGTTTCTGCTTTATCTAATACTTATTTAATATAAAAATTGCTTATAAGGTAAACTCCTTCAAACACTTGATCTGGAAATTTCAAAAAGTTGACGAAAGTATAAAGAACAATATTAATAATAAATAAAAAAAATTTCTAAAATGCAATCAGGTGAATGATTAATTTTCATATATATTTTATTGTAAAAATTAATATAAATATTTGTGTAACATTTGTGGTCAAATTCAGACTTCCACTATACTTTTGTTGCAAGCATGCCCCATATATATATTCCAGGATAATGAGAGTTTAATATTAAATATTTTCATCTGAGGAGTAATCAATTCTCCAAATCCTTAAAGATGCATCATCTGAACAAGAAGCAATCTAAAAAAAAAAATAAAACAAATTTTTAAAATATTTTTTTTTTTAAAAAAAACCCCCATTGTGATGAATATGAATCTTACTATATCAAAGTCTTTTGACCAACTTAAACTTGTGACTTCATTATCATGACCTTTCAATACAATTGGACTCACATCAGGATAATCTACTTCCCAAATATATATATTCTTGTCAGTTGATCCACAAGCAAGATATTGATCATTGGGTGAGATTGCCATCTTAACATAAAATGATGAACATCGAAATTCTGGAGCAGTGAATCGAGTTAATGGTTCACCTAAATTCATTGAATCATACACATAAACACTAAAATAAAATACAATCAATATGTAAATAAATATATATATATACTTTGTAGTCATTGTTAAAAAAAGACTTACTAATGATCGGTACTATTTGCATATAATTTTGAACCATCATTATCTATTAATAAGGCTGATATACCTGTTTTTTAAAATTAGATCTTCAAATTAATTTTTTAAAATTATATGGATAATGTAAAGAAGAAATCAGATTTCTTACCATGAGGACGTATTGCTGTAGCTCCACTAATTGATACTTGAACTGGGTTTGCATTCCTTAGACCAGAATGTTTTCTCAAATCCCAATATTTTATAATACTATCAAGTGCTCCTGATGATGCCAATAAATTTTCATCATGTTTTAAAAATTGCACTCCAGTAACACTACTTGTTGGTTTACTCCTTACAGGAAATGAGCAGGATTTTCTTCTCCTATGAGATTCTAATGAGTGTGCAAATTGTATGCTCATTGCAGGATTATAAAGCATTGCTCCAAAGTTTTGAAGCCCTACAGTCCTTATGTCCCAAATAAATATGTTACCATCTCTAGAAGCTGTTGACCATAAACATGGATTCAAGGTACTATAGCTTATAGATTTAATACTACATGTATGTCCACATAATATTGCTTTAGGTTGCTGAGATTCTACATCCCATAAACGTGCTGTTTGATCACCTGAGGCAGTAACCTTTAATTCAAAAAAATTAGATTTTTTGGGAATTTTCATTAATGGCTTTAATTATTAGCATTTCATGATTTTTATATTTAAAAGTACCAAAGATTTATCATCATGGCTCCACATAATATCAAAGATTGCATTATCATGAGCACGGAATTCAATTCGAATCCGTTCTAAAAGTTAATTGATATTTTAAGATTATTATCAATTAATAATTGATACAAAAGATGTTATTATTGCTAATACTACTAATACCACTGCTATTATATATATTTTTTATTAATTACCAGTTTCAACTGTATTATCATATCTTGTATCAATTAATCCTACTGTTCCTTCTTCGTCAGCTACTGCCAGATATTTTTTTTCATGTGCAACTTTTTAATAATAAATATTTAGTATTATAATTAAATAATTGAATTTGCTTTATCAAAATGACAATATTATTAAGTATATATACCATTAGTAAATGAACAAGCAAATGGTGCAATTAATCCTTGTTCACCTGTGAATCTAAATGCATCCCTTTGATTATTTATAAAATCTTTCATTAAATAACGTGTTGATGCTTAATGTTAAAAATAATTGAATAATCAAATATTATTAATATTATTAATATTATTAATATTATTTATTATAAATAAATAAATAACATACAATTCCATCTTTTTGATGCTTGAACACTATAACCTCTTGGGTTTCCATAAAGCTCTCTATTATATAGAGCTATTATTGTGTTCAATCCCATATAAGGTTTAACAGTCTTCTTAGTAAAAAAAGATATTTTATTCGCATCTTTATTATTATCACTATTGTTGGTAAATGAATTTCTTTCGTGTAATGTTGGAAAGGAAGTTTGTATTTGAGGGATAAATAAATCGTGTCTTATTCTTTTCATTGGTGGTATTTCATTAATGTCAGGAACAGTTTCTTTGTTATAAAGGTTATTTTTGCTGCTGTTGTCAGCCCGAGATAATATATCTGTTAATGGAGTTCGTGGTGTTAAGTAAGAAAGAATACTATTATTATTGGCTTCAGCAGCATTTTTATATGATTGTCTTTTACGACGATGTATGTTTTCAGACATTTTGTTTTGCGTAAATTAGTGTTGGAACACTTGTAGATATAATTAATTCAACGCGTATTACGTTGTTATCCATTTTCTCGAAGTTTTATAAATTTTCTGTGGTAAGTGTCAAGGAGAATTTAATTAATTCGTGAAGGAAAGGATCTACATATTAATAGTAAAATTTCTGGATGACAAAGAATTTTTTTGATACATAATAATAATAATAATATTTGGTCAGGGGAAAATAATAAAATCTAAAAAAATGAAGAATCATTTAATAATATTAATTTGTTTTATGATAATAAGTTCTTGTACTTTTAATACAATATTATGTTCTCCTGATTTAGCTAGTGGAAAATATTTCGATAGGTAAAGAATTCATTAATGTCATTTATGATTAATTATTATTAAAATAATATTCCTCTTCTTGTTATCATAGAGTTATTACAATTGTTTTAGAAAATACTGATTATACTGAAGCAATTAAAGATAAATATTTATCATACTTGGTAATAATAATAATTTTTTGGGAAATTTAAATATTATATATATGTACGTATGTATGTATGTATGTATGAGAGAGATTTATTAATATACTAGAAACTCATTCATTCATATTATGAAAGGCAAATCAGGGAATTTTATTATCAAATTTTCATGGAGTTTGGCATCCTTCACAACCAAATTATATTGCAATGATCCGTGGTTCAAAAGGTGGTGTCGTAAGTAGAGTAATAATTTTATATGTGTTGTTTTAATATTTACGCAATTAATTAAATGATTAATATATTTAATAGATTACAAATTTTTTGCAAGATGTTAACGGCCCTTCACTTCCGGAACTATTGGAGGCAGGAGGGATTTCATGGAAAGCATATATTGAAAATTATCCTGGTAATTAATTAATAATCATTATTATAATAATGACAGTAATGATAATATTAACAATATAGCAATTACATCATATTTATAGGTGGTGGATTTGTAGGAGAAGTGTCAGATGATAAATTATATTATCGTAAACATAATCCTTTCATTTCAATGACCAATATTAGAACTAACCCATCACTAATTAGCAAAATTGTGAATGCTGATCAATTAATAAATGATTTATCGTCATCAAACAATTCAATAATGATTCCTCAATATATATTTTATATGTATGTATTTAGTATATATTTACCTTATTTTTCATTTGTTTATTGGTGGGAAATTTGTTTTTATATTAAGAATGTTATTAATTATAATTTTATTCCTTCACAACAAAAAAAGCCCTAATATTAATAATAGTGGATTGAATACAAACATGAGTTTTTCTAGTGATTATTTGGAGAATCATTTAATGAACTTGATTAAACCTGTTCTATTAACAACCAAGACACTCTTACTAATAACTTACTCAGAATCCAAAAATTATTTTGATCTTAACCTTGTCAATTACAATCACATTTACACCGTACTTATTGGTCCTAATGTATTAAACCCTTATAAACATAAAGATGATCATAAATATAATCATTATAATATATTACCAACAATACAAAATAATTGGAATTTATCAAAATTGGGGACTGGAGAGGATCTAAATTTGACTCCTTTGGATGAATCTTTATTTAAAATATAATACATTAATTAAATTCTAATTTTAATAATTATTTTTCAAGTTTTTTTTTTAATTACAAATCATTTTTGTGTCACAGTCGACTCGAAATATGTTAAAAAAATATTCATTTTCAAAAAATAATAAAATCATGAAAACAAATATTTTATTATTCAACAAAAACACTGATAATGACACAGGTGCTATTAGTAAAAGAAATAATAGCAATGATTATATTGATGATGATTATAAAGATATCGAGAGAATAAAATTATTATTAAAATCATACTTGAATAACTATGATATTAAAGATGTTAATTCAAAAGTTCTAATCAACGAACCTTGGTATAATACAACTGATTTATTAATTATACCAAATAATAATAATAACAACAATAATAATTCATCATCATCATCATCTGATTTTCAAATAAATGATTATCATAGAAAAATTAAAAATTATGTTTATAATGAAGATGGTAAGTATTTAGGAATTGGATTCGGTGCAGAAATTTTTTGTGGATTATCATCACCACAAACACATAATAACAATAATAGTGACCTTAAATTTTTTCTTGGTAATTATTGGAAAAAAAATTTATCATCATCTGTTAATGAAGATTTATCATTAATTTTAAATACTGAAAATAATAAAAAAATCAAAATCAAAAAAACTAAAATTTTAAATTCAATTGGATATTTTGAAAATACTTCAAAGTATTCAAATATTTCAACTATTGCATACATCAAAGAAAATGATGATGATGGCAAAAAGGAACCTGTGATTATTAAATACAATAATATTGGAAAATGCAAAGTTATATTGAGTGGAATAGATTTATTTAATAATGATTTATATTCATTTGATGATAGATTATTATTATTAAATTTAATATTTTCAGAACTTGGTCTAAAAACTTCTAATAATAATAACAAACAACAACAACAACAGCAACAAAATGATTCGATTGAATTGAGTACTACATTATATTTGGCATCTTTAAGACCTTCATTGATTGATTTATTGTTATACAATATTAAACCTTTATTGGATTCTTCTGGGAATTTAGAATTAATTAATAATGAAAAATTTCAATTAATTAGAAATATTAATGAGAAGAGTGAAAATGACAAAAAAATCATTATTTTATATAATGATGGTGATAATGATGACAAAGAAGTAAAATTTAAATATGACAATGATGAATTTTTCAATTTTAAAAAATTTTTTAATATTCTTTGTAATGAAAGAAGTTTATTAAGTAAAGGTGACAACAATTTAGAATTTGGATCTATTTTATTATATGGTGAAGTAGTAACAAGTACTCAAACAATACTTGAAAGGTATTTTATCTTCCTAAAAATTGCCAAAAATGATTAAATCCAATTAATAACTATTCTACCCCTTGTATATAGCAATCTCAAATTGAAAAAGAAGTTACCAAATGGATTTATTTTTTTAACTAATCGGCAAATTCAAGGTCGTGGACGTGGTAAAAATACATGGATTTCACCACTTGGTTGTTTACAATTCTCTTTCACCTTGAATCATTATGACAATCCTACAACTTCTGCGTCCGTAGTGTTCATACAATATTTATTATCATTAGCTATAGTGGAATCCATTAGAACCAAAGATGGTTATGAGGTAATTAGTTAATTATCATCAAGAATTTAATGATAATAAAAAGGTTTTCATTTTTTTTTTTTTTATGAAATGAAATGAATGAATGATACAGGAGATTCCGTTAAGACTTAAATGGCCAAATGACATTTATGCATTTATTGATGACAATGAATTTGTTAAAATAGGTGGTGTACTGGTAAATTCAAATTATATTAATAAAGAATATAAGCTGGTTATTGGTAAGTCACTGTTAAATTAATAAATAGGTTATTGTATTATATTATAATATATTCACATTAATAACTTACCCCAAGTCCTTTTAATATTTAATATAATTTTTTCGTTTTAGGATGTGGGCTTAATGTAAATAATCAATATCCAACAATTTCAATTAATCAATTGATTGAGATTTACAATAAAAAAAACAAAAATGCTGAAGATTTGAAATTATTTTCACAAGAAGAACTTTTAGCTATGATAATTGTAAAATTTGAATATTTTTATAAAGACTTTTGTAACTATGGCAAAGGATTTCGACCTTTCATTGATATTTATTATAAAAGATGGTTACATGAGTAAGTTACTGATATTAATAATAATTTTATTACTTTTGTAAAAAATATTACTATTATTATAATTAAACTTTATTATTTCTGGTAGGAATCAAATTGTAACATTAGAAACTTATAATAACCAAAGAGCAAAAATAATTGGTATAACTGAAGATTTTGGATTTTTAAAGGCAATTTTGCATATGCATCAAAAACAGTTCTGATTCTACTATATCCCACAAACATATATATGCATAGATTGACATGTGTTACTTGTAAATTAATTTTTATTTTATAAATTATTATTTTCAAAAAAACAATCTAGAGTACTTTGTTCCAAGGAATCATTATAAATTTTTTCATTGTATTTTTTACACTAGTTAATTTTTTAATCTCATCTGGACAGTCTTTATGTTGCTGCAACAAGCAAGTCATAACTTTTTCTAAAGCTTCTAATCTTTCCTTAATAGGAATAGCAGGTAACTCACTTTCTTCATCACTATCTTCTTCCTCATTCTGATTTTCATCATTGTTTTCCTCCTGAACTAAACAAATAATTGATGCATCATCTAAAGGCTCTCTGTTTCACTTTCTTCAACAGGGTTTAAAAAATTTTCTGTTGTAATAGGATTTCTATATCTATAAAAGAGTAATAGCATTAACATCAAGAATAATAAAAAACCATATTTTAAATACTTACTTTAAGGCCACAACACCCCTCTCTATGTCAGCAACTAATTCATTATCACTTTCTTGCTCTATTTCTTCTTCATTACTAAAATTAATAATACCTGTATGTCTCCAACAATTAACAATGGTATTGACTGTAACACCATCTGTCCAAGCAAATTTAATGAATTTTATAGCCTCTAAAACATTAAGTCTAGAGGTATCATGTGGATTGTCCTCAAACTTTTTAAGATAATGAACAAACTTATGACAATAATGTTTTTTGAAAGAGGCAATGATTCCAGCATCGCAAGGTTGAAGCTTTGATGTGCAATTAGGTGGTAAGAACTTAACCTGTGTATTTTGCAATTCCATTCCTCTAACTATATGACAGGGTGCATTGTCAAGTAGCAATAACACTCTTCTACCATTCATTCTTTCATCAAATTGTTTTAACTATCTACAGTTAAAGCATTTTATAAATAGTAATTCATAAAGCAAACTATCAATTGTGAATATAATTGTATACTACTTACTCTTGAAACAAAACTGCTGTCATCTGTGCTTTGCCATTTGCTCTATAGACAACTCCAAGACTATTCATATTGATTTTTCCTATACATCAGGGTTTTAAGGATTTTCCAATAATAAGTGGTTCTAGTTTATCAATTCCATCAGCATTACAGCAAAGTACAACAGTCAAACGTCGTTTATCCTTTTTTTTTACCCTCAAGTTGTTTGGTTGCTAAAGTTTTATCAGGTTCAAGTCTATGATCATTAAATTTCATTAGAATTTATTAATATTTTAAGTATGTATAGTTTAATATTATACTTGCCGAAAGAACAACCCAGTTTCATCCATGTTATATACATCTTCAGATTTAAAGGTTCTGATGACTGTTTTCAGATCGGGAATGGCATTTTCAATTGCACTAATATCAGCCAAACCACTTTCTCCATGTAATTGGTATCTTTTCAAATTGTTTCTACAAGTGTGATAATTTGTTATTGATAAGGTTAATAATCTTAGTTCAATATAATACAGAAACATACCTATTCTTAAAGCTTTGAAACCACCCAGTGGAAAATGACAATGTATCATCAGGTATATTAAGCATTTTTGCAAATGTTTTAGCTTTTTCAATTAAGATTAGATCTGTTAAAGGAATGTGACCTTGTGAATGCAAACACCATTCTTGGAATGCATGTTCAAGTTCAGGCTACTTCACACTACACGTTTTTTTTGCTGTGGGTTTGCTTCATTGTTTAAATACTCAGATGAACGTTTTAATGTTCAAGAGATAGTTGCTTGATCAACCTTTGCACCAAGTTCTTGTTCACACCAAGCAGTTAATTCTTTTGAGTGATTGTTGGAACATTTTGCTTTTTTAAACAAATTTGATGGTGTTGTTCATTGTTTAAAGTAACCTTTTTCATTGTTAGTAATGTGATGATGACAATATCTATGTGAGTAAATTTAACACTTTATAATTATAAAAATTATTCTAAATGTCAATATCACGAATGATTGTGACGCGTGTTCATTTATAATTTATTCCACGTGACTTTACATTAGATAAACACGTGATAACGTGAATATGCATATTCTGTCTGTTTGCATACATTTGCATACAAACTCATATACTCAAAAGTATGCAAATAGACAGGTACAACTGTACACCTACCTGCCAAAGATATTGACAATTTTGCAGATTGCTAGAATAAAATTTTTATTATCACAATTGCTTTTGTATACAGTGCAAGACACTTAGTCCTACAACTTTTATTGATCTTGCTGATCCCCCAACTCCTCCAAAAATGGAATGCATGACCAAAAAAACAAGATGTATGAAGCTAAGACCTTTTTCTACCTTCATTTTGTTATATGTCATGTGGAGGAATTAAGCTAAAAATGGGAATTGTAAGTGATTGGCATTATGAATGAATTTATAGATCTCAGCATAAGATCTATATCCAAGTTAAATGATTGCAATGAATGATTGCAGGATAAATGCATAAACAGGAAAAGGGATTTAATCAGGAAAGAAAACAGCGAGATAAGGAAAAAAAAGCAGTGGGACTGTGGTATAAAGCTAGCCAATGATGAGAATCAGAAACAGCATGCCCACAATCTGGAAATTATTAATGAGACCAAGCAATAGAGCTTGCATGAGCCGGCTCACAAGCCAGCTCATGAGGAGCTTTACCAAGCAATTAAAGATAGAAAATATTACCCTTACATCTTGGGATGGCTGCAATCAAGAATCTCTCATTAAATATTGTGACAATTTACAGATAAAAATGGAAGAAGTGAAATTGCTCAAATCTACAATAAGGCCATTAAAGAAGGAGTTGGAATTGGCCCAAGAAAACTCATCTCTGAAAGTATCCAAAACCAAGACTCCCAAGACCAGGTTATCTGAAGTGGAGCATCTACTGAGAACCTCAAGACCAAATTATCTAAATTGGAGTGGAGCTGGTATCAAAAGAATTGATAATACAATCTCTAGAAACTAAGTTATCATCAGAACCAGTCAAAATCAGTAGCAAGACAGATGAAAAAAAAATACTGATTTCTAAAGATATCTCTCCAGGTAGTAAACCTATAAAAAATTTCTACACAAAAAATATATGGATACAACTGAAAAAATCAGCAACAACCCTTCCTCAAATATAGATAATAATTCTTCCCTTCATATAAACCCAGAGTCAGTAAAAATTAGTGCGAATGAGGTATCCATTTTTTAGTGGATGTATCTGCTGAATGATTATTCACCAATTATCTAGTTAATTGGGTGCTGAAAATTTTTCATTAATTAATCAGGTGTTGAAAATTTTCACTAAATAATTGGTGAATAATTGATGGTACAGAATATAAAAAATAAAAATATCATTGAATTGCAATTACACAAAGAAGTTTAGTAATAGCCTATTCATCCTGATCCACATAATTGAAATCTCTTTGTTATCATCAATTAATTATGCTCCTCTCCAACTTCTTCATTATTATAAATAGGAGAACTATTATCAGGTGAATTATTATCAAGAGAATTATGTAATTCATTCATGAAGAAATCAATAAATAACAGTAAAATTGAAGGAGAGGAATTAATTATTAATTATATATTAATATTAATATATATATATTTTATTTATTATCAGAAAAAAAAATTTTTTTTTTGTGTTCAATAATAATTTAAAAACCAAAACCGAACTGAAAATTTTCAAATTGGTTTTTTAAAAACCAAAACCAAAACCGAACCGAACCAAAACCGAACCATTCAGAGCCTTAGATATATTGCTAATTACACCAAAGAATGTGCCCATACCATACACATTAGCATGATGGAAGTTTGATTTTATTGGGTATAATAAAATGTGACAAATAAAATTTAGGTTTTTACCAAAATTAGAAAATTTTAGGGAAAATCAAGATTTATATGGTGTGTGTAATGTTGATCACAGCAAACAAAAATTTAATGTGTATATAAATTAGGGATGGGAATAGTTCAACTGGCTGTTTGAAACTGAACCGATGCAGTTTGGTTTAACATAGTGGACATTTGTTTTATCACTTGTGACAAAATCAATCATTGATCTTTTTTATATTGTGAAACTTGCTATTTCAATTGAATTTAGAATAGAAAAAAGTTGCATGACTGTACAAAACCCATTTTATGGAAAATCTATTTTTTTTTTATATCAATATATCACTTTGACTTTTCTTTATATTTTGGTAAAACTTGATCAATTTGATCAATTTGATTTCAATAAGGTTACCTTAGAAGTAAAAGTTTAAGGCTTCCATCAAAATTGTGTCATTATTATTTATTATCATTATTTAAAAAATTTTTTTTTTAAATATGAATGATACCATTTTACTTATTAATAAGTTATTATTATACTTACAGGTAAAGACTTATTCTATATTCTCATTATTATTATACTTTAAAGAAATAAGTATTTATTATATATATTTGATTAACTTATAACTTATATTCAACTTTTCCGATAGTACAAAGATCATATAATAGGTTGTATTTTGATTTTTTTATGATGCATTTAAAAAACAAGAAGGATTTTTAAACAACAATAACAGATATACTCAGGGCGTAATTATAAAGTGGTGTATACAATTTAAAAAAACATATTTAAAATATATTTTTTTATATTTATATTTATATTTATATTTTATATATATATATATATTTATATTTATATTTACATATTTACATTTATATTTTTTTATTTTTATTTTCAAAATTCATGTATTAATATTCATGCCACCAATCTATTTATTTATAGGAAATTTCAGATATATATACAATATTATATAATGGATGATAATTCATGATCAAAGGTAAAATGTTGATTTGATGAAGTCAATGAAAAGTTAAAAGCAAATAATATATTAGACTGTATAATGAAAAACCAAGCCTATGTATTAAAAACATTCAATAAAGAAATACTATATTAATTTTTTTATAAACATTTTATTTTTATCATTCCCTCCAATATTAATATTAATATTAATATTAATATTTTGTTTTTCAAATTTGCGTAATGATTTTCAAGCCAATAAAATTTAATTGTTGCATGATATCTGGAAGGGAGATCGTCACAAAATTTAGCCAATGAAATCAAATGTCCACTATGCTCCCCTAGGTAATAGTAATAATTTGTGTACGCATATATGTTGATCATCAATCTTTTTCCAAAAAAGAATGCCTAAACAAAATATAACAAGATCAAAGAAAAAAAGAAAAGAAACTTCAACAAAAGAATCATATGGGTAAGTGTTGTTTATTGTAAGAATGGTGATGGTGGTTATCGCCACCACTTGTCACTCTAGTTCTAGTTATTAAAAAAGAATAGTGGTTGCGACACGTCATCATTTTAGTCTTTGTTGGGAAAATGGTATTAATTTGTATCTTGTATTATCTCTTATACTAGCAACCAACAAATTTTGAAATATTTTTCTCCATCAACATCACCTGAAAAAAGGTTGAATGACACGTTCAAATTAAAGGATTTTAGAAAAAATCAACTTGAAGCAATTGTTCAAACACTGGATGGAAAGGACGTTTTTGTAGTAATGCCAACTAGTGGTGGAAAAAGCTTGTGCTATCAATTGCCTGCACTGATAAAAAGAGGAAAAACCAAAGGTGTAACCATTGTTATTTCACCATTGCAATCACTAATCATTGATCAAGTTTATAATTTGGAAAGACACAATATATCAGCATTATGCTTATATAGTGAGCAAGAAGACAAAGAAAAACAAAATGTCTACGCTGAACTTGATAAAACTATACCAAGTTCCAGGTTGCTATATTTAACTCCTGAAATGTTAAATAAAAATATAAAAATTTCTTCAGCAATAAGATGTTTGTATGAGAGAAACCAATTAGCAAGATTTGTGATCGATGAGGCTCATTGTGTTAGCAAATGGGGTCATGGTTTTAGGCCAGATTATAAAAAATTGCACAACTTGAAGGAAGTTTATCAAGATATCCCTGTCATCGCTTTAACAGCAACAGCAACTTCTGAAGTAAGATCTGATATAATAAATATTTTAGGAATCCAAGGTTGTAAAGTTTTAGTGCAAGAAATTAATTGAGAAAATTTGTATTACAAAGTATGTGGAAAGAGAATGACAGTAGTAAATCATTGCAAAATCTTGTTAAACTTGTTAAAAGTTATAATGGAAAATCAGGAATCATTTATTGTACTACCAAAAAATGCTGTGAGAATGTTGCACAATACATCCAAAGATCAGGAATTCCAGCAAATTATTACCATTCGGATGTAGAGAAAAAAAACAAAACTATTATACAAAATGAATGGCAATCAGGAATAAGGTTTCTGGTCCAAACTGTTTTCTCAAAGCCCAAACTAGTTTGGGCAATTTGGGCTTCTCAACATTTTCTATAAGCATGAACATTAAAAAACTATATGAATCAACTTGTTTTAACTTAAACAACTTTAAAATAATTTTGCCCAATTTTGGCTAATAACAAAAAGTAGTTTGGGCTTATAAAAAAATAATCTTTGCCCAAAGTATTTGGGCAATTTCGGCTACTAATAGAAGCAGTTTCGACCAGAAACCTTAATCAGGAAGGCTTCAAATCGTTGTTGGAACCACAGCCTTTGGAATGGATAAAATATCCATGTTTTTTAACATGATACATGTACATATATTAAATTGATTTTTTATATATATATAAAGGGATCAACAAGCCTGATGTGCATTTTATCATTCATTATTCATTGCCTCGATCTCTGGAGGAGTACTATCAGGAGACAGGGAGGGCTGGCAGAGATGGAAGATATTCTGCATGTGTTCTTTTATATGTAGGTAGTGAGTATAAAATATTAAGAAAAATTATAGAAAAAGAAGATGAGTCTCAAAAGGATAAAAAATTATCAAACCTTCTTTTGATGAAGGAATATTGTGAAAATACCACAGATTGTCGCAGGAAACAGTTATTGGGGCATTTTGGAGGAAAGTTTGATCCATCAAAATGCAAGGAGATGTGTGACAATTGCACAGTGGGGAAATATAAGATTCATATGGAGAATAAGGATAACTCATCATCAAATACAATTGAGATCATTCATGAAAGCAAAAATGCTGCTTCTGGCTCTAGAAGAAATTCCACAAACAATCTACAAGATTATACAACAGGAGAGACCGTTCTGGGAACACAAAAATTAACAGAAGGGAACACAAAATTTTAACCCATGCTATTTGTTGATTGGCCAATTAAAATCGCGAACTTGATAAACGTAGAAATAAATATGGGATTGATTCATTTTGTCAACAATCACTTCACCAACAATTGTTACATTAACGAATTTAAGAAGTTGGAAGCAACCATTGAAATAGTCTAATAAATTAAATTGTACTACTCGAAAATGTATTTAAAGGGTTGTTTTTTGACTTGGTCAGATAATAACTCTCTTCTTAACTCTTCTCTTGACCATATCTCTTGATATAATCAAAATAACCTTAATATAACGAATGTCAATGAAATGATTGTAAACACAACAAATTTAAGATACATGATTGTGATGAAAAATGAACAATGTATGAAAAATCAAACAAATTTATTTAATAAAAACAAATTTACAACCAAAAAAATTTTTTTTCATGTTCTAATAAAATTTCCATTGTTGCTGTCATCTGTTGCTGATTCAACATTGCCCAGATTAGAGTTCCGAACGGGTCGGGTCAACCCGAGTGACCTGCGGGTTATGACCCGTTCGGGTCGGGTCGGGTCATGAATTTGATTTGACCCGCGGGTCACACGGGTTGACATGGGCCCAATATGCCGAATGACATGACCCTTGTTTTATGCCATATCATGTGCCATATGCAATATGTAATCCTTGTCTTATTATTAATTATTTTATTAATATTAATATTGATATGGTCAAAAAACACTAGCTGATAAATACAATGAATGTTATTATAATGCTGCTGCTGCTGCTGCTGCTACTGCCACTAATGTTGCTGCCACTACAAATAATAATGAAAATATTTTTTTTACATTTTCACTTGGTATCAATTATAATAATAATCAAAAAGAAGATGAATTAGAGGAGTATCTCCAGTAAATCCTCAAACAGATCCACTACAATGGTGGAAGGTAACAACTTAATTAATATCTGATATATTTATTTTTCAACATTAATTATTATTTTCATTAAATATGATAGGTTCATGAAGCCACCTTTCCAAATCTTTCCAAGATGGCACATGACTATCTTGCAATTCCAGGTAAGATATCTTTTTTTAATAATTTTTATTTAATTTGTAAAAATCAATAAGTATATGTATATTATTTAATGTAAGGTAGAAGTGTATTTGTTGAAAGAATCTTTTCAGGTGGTGGTGACCTAATCACAAAAAAAAGTTGTTGTTTGGAGAAAGAAATAATTCAAGCATGCATGTGCCTGAAAAATTGGATTAGAGATAATAATATTACTAAGTAAATCAAATTTTTAATTTTTTTAAAAATCCACTTATTTTACACATTGTATTTTTTTTTTAAATTCAAATGAGCAAAATAAATTACATATATTAATTGATACTTGAGAAATTTTTTATATCTGACCCGGGTACCCGACCCGACTCGTGTTGACCCATTCAAGTCGGGTCAATAATTAAAAAATTCGGGTCGGGTCAGGTTGTCCATTCAACCCGACCCGACCCGACCCGTTCGGAACACTAGCCCAGATCATCATCAACTGTATTTTCATTATTTTCGATAAATTTAATATTTTTCATCATACTTTCTTTTAGTGTGTTGACATTTTTTTTGATTTCGACTTGAAGATAGCATCAGGAAAACTAATGTTGAGTATTATATGTATAATCATCATATAAGTCACATATAATGGTCTATATGCAATTTATTCATATTTTTTTTAATATATTAAGCATATATTACTTTATACAATGATTATATGTATAATATTTACTTATTATACTAGTATTAGATTTATACAAATATTTTATGTATTTTTCTAAGCAAATTATACATGGGATAATTGCACGACATATTCTGTGCAAAAAATCATGGAGATTATTTGTATAAAATGATCCTGCATGTGTTTGATGCAGAATATATGTATATTATGATATATGCAATTTATTCATGTATTGTTGTGTTTATTATACTTATGGTGATCTATATGTATAATATATGTAAGTATATGTAGAATATATTATGTTGATTCTTGAGCATATATTCTTGGCTGTTTGATATGCATCATATACATGTATTATACATATAATTCTTGTAAGTTTTTACTTTCAATTGACATCATTAACAGTTAACAAGGAATGGGTAAAATATATTATGTATACATATACTTGATTTCCTGATCCCAATAATTATGATGAAATTATATAAATTATTATTATTTGTATTTTTTTAAAAGATTTTAACATAATTATTAATAAAATATCTATTATCATGATTAAAATCAGGAACTACATGTAAATTTCTTATAACTGATTCTAATGGTATTATATCATATGAACTTACCAATTTCATATAAGGACATCCTAATTTGTGTCTTTTATCTGTAATTGTATTCTCTGTTTTTATTTTTTTTTTAATAGTAATATCAACATAATCATACCATTGAATCATAACTAATTGCAAGTTTTCAATATTGCTTTCTTCAAATCTTATCTCAAATAGTAATAAACACTTGATTAAATAATAAAATCAAAAAAAAAATATTAAAAATTTATATTATGAAAATAATAAATGTTGAATACATACTTTACCATACCACAATCCATCTTCACTACTGTATTGTTCAGCTTGTTCATCTGAAATAAATATTTCAACATCAGAAAAATAACTAGCTCCATGATAATCACTATTTGTTCTTATTATTTCATTAGATACATATGCACTTTTGTAAAATATTATTTTTTCCATCTGATTTCTTTTAATTTGTAATTCATCCAGGAAATTTTTTAGGTTTTCTTTTAAATTTTCAAACCCCAATTTATAATAACTATCTTCACAATATTTTGAAAAGAGCAATTTATCTATTTTCTTATAATCAATCTCAATATATTTGTTAAAAAGTTTAATTCCTTTTGTTTCAACATTTTTTTTTGATGGCCCTAAAAAACTTCCCATACTTACCTACAAAATAAATAAACAAAATAAAATGTTATATCAGTAGATACACTAGTCAAAAAGACAAAAAATATGATTTGATTTCATGCATGGTTTTAACAGATTTGTACCAAAGAATCAGATTTATTGATAATATTCAATTTCAAAATAAAGTACTTGCCTTTTTTAATATCTGTTTCATTTCATTTTTTTTATTTGAGAACCTGTATGGATCTTTTACATAATATTTATGTAAATTTTCATATGTCTCTGTTGTGTATCCATTAATTGCACCAAATTTTTTAATGGATGAGCTTGTGTGCATTAACCATGTATGTAATTTAGGTAAATTTAAATTAGATGGCGAGTATTTTCCAAATATTTTTAAAAACCCTAGAGCCCACATTTTTTTTAATTCCTAAATATTAAAATTTTGTATTAATCCTTAAGTAAATAATTATTAAATTAATAAGAAAATTGTATACATACTTCAAATAATTTTATCTTATCTTCAGTAAAATAATCTGATTTACTCAGTATATACATTTTATTAAAGTTTACAAAGTTTTCTACAAGTTCTTCTGGCCCTATTCCAAATAATACAAATGGCATCACTTTCATTAACTCTCTATATTCTTTTGCAGTTAAGCTAGTAATTCCAAATAACCCCTTATTAAAAATCTTTAACCCTTTAAATTTTGGAATAATTGATAAACGATAATCTATTAAATGCTTATTTGAATCATGAATGAACATTTCTTCAGTATAATCTATCATTCTTTTAAATAATCCTAAATCCAGCTGGTGCATCCTGTCCACAATGCAAGCTTCATATATATTATCACTGCAGTTAATGGTTAATAATCATAACATATATATATAATAAAATAAGCAAGAGTGAAAAATTGTTAATTAAAAAGATTACAATACCAATGATCCCAAAAGATGTTTCTCATTGAATGAACTGAATAGAATTTTTCTCTTTTTTCTGATATTGCTTGTTCCATATTTTCATTAGTTCTAATTAAATATTCATCTTCGATGTTATTCAATTGATCTTGTGGTACCAGGCAATTATAACATGGTTTATTACAATTGTATGATTTAAAAGTTGAGCAATATGAGCTGGCCTCAGGTAAATCTGAAATTATACAAGATAATTTGATGGTGACTTTTTTATTATTGCCATTTCCTAATTTAACTGAAATTCCAGTCTTATATTGATCTAACAAAGGTTCAAATAATATGTTCATGCAATGCTGAAAACATGACCGTTTAATTTCTGAATACAATTCTTTTAATTGATTTGTTGAAAATTCTAAACCTGATTCATCTGGGATATTTTCTACTATTGGTAAATACCCTAACAAAGATTTTGCATTCAATGAATTTCTTATTCTATAAGGTAAATTTCCTAATGTTATATATATTGGATGTAAGTTTTTTTTCCCAAGTTTGTCACATGTTGTTGCATCAGAATAGATAATAATTGATAGCAAAGAAGTATTTTTTGGCAATTGCATTGTGGCATCTTTCCACCAATTGCATTCATACTGCTCCCCATAAATTTTCTAAATAATCAATCAAATAATTTATTTTGATGTAAATTGCTCCCAAAAAATTTTTGTAGAAATTTTACCTCATTATCAACATAATTATTTTCATAATCCCAGTGACATTCTTCAAGAATTTCTTGTCTCTCTAATATTCCTTCAACTGCAGAAAAAATATCTTGATAATAAAAATCATATGATTTACCTTTAATTGTTATTTTTTCTTTTTTAAATTTTGATTCATTTTTCTCACTCTTGTCAAATTGTTTAATGGCAGCAGAAGTTGAAGAAGGTAAATTTAGATGTGGAGCATATTTTTTAATATATTTTAAAATAGCATCTCCACTTTTTTGAGAAATATTATTCTTAGAGATCTAAAAAAAAACCTAAGTTAATTTGGCTTAAACAATAAATTAATTCTTTAACACTCACTAATTGAACAAAATCATAACATTCTTCAGATATTAAATTATATGGGATTTGATGATATTTCTCATGTTCTGGGCCATATTTTTGCACCAAAATAGGATTTGTTGATTTATAAATCATGCCTTCTTCACTTATATTATTTATATCATTCATATCTTCTTCACTCAGCTCATCATATTCTTCATTCAATTCATTTTCTTTGCTAAACTCATCTTTATTTAGATCACCATCTTGACTCATATCACTTTTTTCACTACTAAAATCAATCTCCATATAATCTTGATTTTCTTTAATATAATCTCTATTTTTATGTACTGTTAAGTGCTTACCATAGTTCATTTTTTTATTGAAAACCTTACCACACATGCATTTGTACATCTTGAATTGATATAAAATTTAATATTATAAGAAATTGATAATTTGTTTTATTTAGTGAGATTAATTATTAATAAAAAATATTACGTGAATATTTGTATTACATTACTATTTTTTTTTAATTTTACGCGAATATTTGTATTACATTATAATTACTAATTTTTTTTTTTAATTTTACGCGAATATTTGTATTACGCAAATATTTGTATTACATTACTATTACTATTACTATTTTTTTAATTTTACACGAATATGAAGAAAAATATAAAGACTACAAAAAATAATCATACAATTAATTCTCTTATAGGAAGAGCAACAAGCTCTTCAGCAAAAATCTCTTCAGCAAAAAGACCCATTGATGTAATAGTGATGATGATAATTCTAATAAAAAATTAAATCAAAATCCACATTCCAGAATTATTAAAGAAAAAGAAGTTAATAGATATTATGATGATGATGATTATTATGATGATGATAATGTAATGATCAATGGTAATAAAATATATGCAATGTGTTGTTTATTATTTAATTTATTATTATTAATTTTTATTATATATTTAGGGGAATCAAACAAGCAAAATTATGAAATTTTGCTCAATAATCTTAAAAATGATCTTGATAACAAATTAAATAATATATCTAATAAACTAGATAATTTAATTGAAGAAACCAAAAAAGGCCGCAATGATAACTATAATAATAATCATAATAATAATCATAATAATAACACTTATCAAGTAACAGAAGACATTAAAGTATAAATATAATCATTAAATAATAAATTTTAACTATTTTAATTATTAAGATAATTAATGTTAATTTGTTAATACCTCAATTATTTATTATAGAAAATTATTAAAGAGTCATTTAGAAGGGATCTATTTATTAGGAAAAAATATCCTGCAGATGTAGATATTGAAAAATTTGTTCATAGAGTCTTAGTAAATCGCTTTCCAGAAGAAAGAATGTATAAAGACAAAGACAATTGGGAACAAGTCTGGTACAAGCTGAGAGGTGTAGTAAGTACTTACCTTAAACCTATCTCTAGAAAAAGTGTTGTAAAATTTTTAGAAAAATATTGATAATGTTTTTTCTTAATAAACTTAGTCATTAGAATTGTTTAGAACAACTAGGGGTAATGCAATCAGACGAATTAAATCTAGCTTGTTTCAAAAATTTCAGAATTTAGAAGAAATCAATAATGATGCAACGATAAACCAAATATTAGAAGTATATATGATATTAATTATATTTTGTATAATATAAAGATGAAATTATTAATATAAAAGTTTAAATTGACAGTGGAAAGACAATGATTCAACAAAGGAGGCCCTTGACTCTTTATGTGAGATTGAAGAGGATGATGATATGACTTTCTTTGAAAACATCACAAGAGAAGCATTTGCTGGTGATAGAGGAAAAGTAAATGGGACCAACAAAAGCTTTGTATGGGCAATATTAAATGCTTTTCTTGGCACAGAAAATAACTCCTTACATCTGGGTGAAAAAATGATTGTGCCATTGATGGCAAAATATGAGGTGAGTAAGTTTAAAAAATTGACTATTAATTAATTGACTATTAATCAATTAATTATTAATTCATTTTATTATGCAGAGTGAGAATGTTGATCATGATGTTTGCAAATAATTTTTAGTAATAAATTAATTCGTAACTGGGTAAGACTACATATAATTTTTTAATTATTTTAAATAAGTAGAAATTTTTTTTTGTCAAAAAATCTGTATGTCATGACTAGTACTGGTAGTATTAATTGATTTTTAGAATATAGAAAAATTTTTGTTGCAGTGTCACGTGAAAGTAATTTGAAATCTTTTTCCTCACAAACAATATATATATATATATATATTAATATTCAAAATCATTATTAAAAGGATAGTTTTCTCTAGAAAGTGTGCTGTATAAAATATGCATTGTTTACATAAATTTCATGCACAACAAAATCTTTTTTTTGAAATAAATATCCTTTAAAAATTTAATCTTTTTATTTCAAAAAAATGCAAAGTCTTTACAAAACTGTTCAAATGTTAGTTGTCAATTTCAATACATTAACAGATCTTCATCATGACTTTAATGAATGATCTTGATAACAGTTTGTGTGTAATTGAACCCCTTGGCAAGTTTGAAAGTGGTGTTGCTAGTGTTTCCAAAATAAATCTAATGGTAGAATTGAAACAAAGGAACATTATATTAAAAGTAAAAGATTGCTACAGTTCACTCTCTCTACTACAAAACTCTTCTGTAATGAACACTAAGTAAAATCTCTATAATGAACTTCGCTTTTGTCCTTTATTCATTTTTTATAATTAAAACCTCTCTCTATAACAAACATCTTAATAAACACTCTATATAATGAACAAAAGCAGAAAAATTACATATAGGATGGAAGGTTTGTTATAGAGAGTTGAATCATACATGGTGATTTTATTGCAAGAGGCATAAGACATTCTTTGCTTCCTTTTTAATCATAAGGGTTGCCTTCCTAATAAATGAGAAAAAAATTATAAATATATGTTTTAAATTTCTTACATCTTGTAATTAATTTAATACTAACTGATACATCAAATGATATTAATATTAATATCATTATCTCTTAAACGGTCAGAGTATTCTTTAATGGTAACGCGAAATGATTTTTTGATCACGATCTTGCATTCTTATTGGCCAATTTAACGATCTGCAAAGTAAAAATAGTCAATCGACCAACTTTTAAAGAAGATTTTACGAAAACCACAAGGACATCAACCAAATTTTTATTCACATATCAAACAGCCGAATCCCAACGATCATTTTCGTATTAGGAAGTAATACCTTCAGAAAAAGTTTTTTATAACAGAAAAAAATTTTCGGCTATCAATAGCCGAAAAACCGTTTAAGGGATAATGATTGCGTGTAACAACGAATTTTTTCCAGCGATTTTTATTGCATTTTTATGTAATTAATAATTAATTAATTAATTTGTTCACCTCTATACATTATTACGAAGTAAATTGTTACAATATTATCCTTCAATAAAAAATAATATACATTAAATGATCATTATCTTGACAATGGGTGTATGAAACAATATAACATCTTCACCCTATTGATCTACAGGATATGTCGCACAACCAATATTTTTTTTTTGTTTACATAAAAACATAAAATGAAAACTACATCTTGAAACTAGCATCGTTAAAAATAGGAGCTAATCAAAAGATAGTATATAATAATAGTTGACTTATGAACAAACAACATATGGATCTTTGAGTACTATAATGAGAAATGTTGGTTTTTAGTTAATGAATAGATGATTGAATGAGTAAGCAAAATAAAATAAGAAAATGTGTAACTTCAAAAAAGAGATAATGGGGAGCATAACATAGTTAATAGTAGTAGATAATGAATAATATCACTACTAATAACTTATTATATATAACATCATATTAATATTTGTTTTTTCAAAAAAACAGATCTACCAATTAAACAATAGGATTAGATTATTGTTCAAAGCATAATGGTGAGTGGTAAGTAATAATATATCTATTACTAACAATAATTCTTATTGTATATATATATAACTGTATTAACAAGGTTTACTATTATGGTTATTGTTATGTACGCAACCAAATTATAACCTGTTTTATTATTATGACCTATTGTTAACGTGGTAAGTAATGATATATTATAATAATTTACTAACGGGTTTATTATTATTTATTGTATACATATATAACATTGTATTAACGGGTTTATTATTATTTATTGTATACATATATAACATTATATTAACGGGTTTATTATTATTTATTGTATACATATATAAGATTGTATTAACGGGTTTATTATTATTTATTGTATACATATATAACGTTGTATTAACGGGTTTATTATTTATACACGCGATCATCAAGGTAAGTAATAATATATTACTAATAATTCTTATTGTATTAACGGGGTATATTATTAATAAATTCTTATTAAATATAATATTTCTTTTCTTTCAAAATGGGGTTTTTATGCACATGATCATCAAAACAGTAAGTAATAATATATTATTAATAATTTTTATTATATATATATATAACATTGTATTAATGATATATGATCTCAATAATTTAACAAAACAAATTGATGATAAAGGTGTATTAGAAGCATTTTTAGGAATTTTTTGCACAAATATTTACCACATCTCAGTTCATTAGAGGGCAAAATCATGGAAATATCATATCAAATCATTGAGACCTGTGCAAGGGAATTTTTGGTATGTGTGTTCACCATCACTACAATCATCTGATCCAACACCAGAGTTATCTTCAGCACCATTGTCAACATCATAATCATCACCAAATGATGCATTAGTTGTTCAAAGATATTTCAATGCTTGCCAGAATCATCTCCATTGCTGAATAAATACAAAGGTAGTAAATTCTTAGTTTTTTTATATAGATTGCACATGCAATAAAAGGTATATTATATTAGATGTAATCTTACAGGAGGTAAAAATATTGAAACAGCTATCAAATTATTTCATTCATCTACTAACGATTTATATTCATATTTTTCTTAATTTATTTATTTATCTACTATCATTGTTTATTTTTTTAACATATTATCTTAATGAATATATTTGTGTCAACGTGGGAGAAATCTGAATTTATTTTCTCCAATTATAACTATTTATTTATTTACTACTAACACAAACTATTTCATTCCATCTCATTAATCTATTAATGATTTACTTTTAATTTTCATAATTTATTAATCATTTATTTTTTTTAACATATATCTTAATGAATATATTAATGTCAATGTTGTTGGTAAGAAATTTATTACAATTTATAATTAATTAATTATTTAATTATTTATTTATTTATTACTAACAAACTATTTCATTCCATGTCATTCATCTACTAATGATTTATATTCATATTTTCTTTTATTTATATACTAATCTTTTTATCATATATATATATTTTAAGAAATTTGAATTTATTTTCTTCAATTATAACTATTTATTTATTAACACAAAATCATTTCATTTACTTACTAATGATTTATTTTTTTTTATTTTATTTATTTATCTACTAATCATTTATTTTTTTAACATATATCTTAATGGATATATTAATGTCAATGTTGGTAAGAAATTTATTAGAATTTATAATTAATTAATTATTTATTTATTTATTTATTACTAACAAACTATTTTATTCCATGTCATTCATCTACTAATGATTTATACTAATCTTTTTATCATATACATATATTTTAAGAAATTTGAATTTATTTTCTCCAATTATAACTATTTATTTATTTATTAACACAAAATCATTTCATTTACTTACTAGTGATTTATATTTTTTTTTCTTTATTTATTTATCTACTATTAACATAAACTATTTTGTTCCATTTCATTCATCTACTAATAATTTATTTTTATTTTTCTTTATTTATTTATCTACTAATCATTTATTTTTTTAACATTTATCTTTAATGAATATATTAATGTCAACATTGGTAAGTAATTTATTACAATTTATAATTAATTAATTATTTATTTATTTATTACTAACAAATTATTTCATTCCATGTCATTCATCTACTAATCATTTGTTTTTTTAACATATACTAATTTTAACATGGCAAGAAATTTATTACAATGAATTGGTTATTTATTTACTACTAACACAAACTATTTATTTATCATTTTATTTTTTAACATATATGATTCTTATTTATATTAATCTTTAAATTATATGTACAATGATCAAACAGCTGTTCATTTAACCCTACAATTGTATGCATTTTTGAAGATTAATTTTCCCAATGCATAAATATTTGTATTTTCAAAAAATTAAATAAAATAAACATAAGGTTTAAATATTTACATTACTATCAGTAAATTTTGAATTATACAATTCTGTGCCTTTTTATTATATGCAATTTATATGTGTGATACTAATTTAATTTATTATACTTATAACATATAAGAACTATATGTATAATACGCAAATCATGACATGGAAGAATATATATATGAGAACTATATGTACAATACTGGATTAGTTCACAGATACTATAGGTGTAATTTATTATACTTATAATACATAAAAATTATCCATATAATGTGCAAATCACGTTATGAAAAAGCCACACATATGTCAATCATATACAAATCATGATATGGTGTTTATATGCTGTTTACATGTAGGATCTATGTATAATTTCAAAAGCATTTTCCTGATGGAAGAGCAGATACAATTTTTGATAAGCCAATAATAGTTGATGGCTTTTACTGTTGTCCACTGTACAATCTTTTAGAATCCATCATACAGGTCACTCACTCTTGTACCATCTTTCAACAGTATTCCTAAAGAGCTGGAATGCTGTCTCATCAGTAAATATTGTTTTATTCCAGTCATTTTCTAAGTGCTTTCATGCCCATTCTACTTGTTGTTGTTTATGGGCTTCAGTTAACATTGGGGTGGACTGCAGTAACTTTTTATTGCAACCAAGACTTGCCAAGTGTGCTGCAATTGTTGTATGTGAGGCCTCTACACCTTTTACAGCCAATTTTGTCTCTATAGAACATAGAGAAATAGTGGAGTCTTGGCATATATTCTGACTGATGTACCATGCAATATTAGGGGTGATTTTTTTAGGACAACCAGCACCTTTCTTGTGATCCAAATTACCAATTTCTTCCAACTTTTTCAAGTTCTTATAGATAATTTGCATTGGAATCTGTGTTGCTTTGTGGATTTCTTTAGCAGTATGAATTCCTATGTTCCAAAAACGTAATATAGTTTCTTGTTGTGTTTTTGGTTTGGATTTAATCATTTTAATAAAAAAAATTTCAATATGTAGTTTTAAAAAACTTTATATTAATAATAAAAATCAAGAGATATTTTTGACATTTAAAATAAAAAAAAGATTATTTGATTTGGCCTGATTTTGGTAAAGTTATATGAATTCAAATTTTTTTGCCAATAATTTCTTTACACACTGTATGTAAATTAATTGATTTATACTACTTACCAATAAAGCCCTCTTGAGTCTTGACTAAAATTTTATCATTGTGATTTAAAATATGTTCTTCACTTTATTAATAAAAGTTCTTTTGTTTGAACTATTTTTTCATAATCTAAGTCCTTAATGTTTGCTTTCCTCTAATGAGATTATAGTGATAATATTATTATTATAGAAATGATAGTGATTTCAATATTGCATATAATAGATATGTATGATTAATTAAGTTATTATTACTTACAATTGAAATTATACAATGTATACAACAGATGAGATTGCTTTAGCTTCCATTTTAGCAATCTCAGTTTTATATTTCTTTGGCGTAGCTCAAGTGCAATATCATAGTAACTGTCACTGTTATTACCATTAATATTATTATTATTATAATATATTATTATTATTATTACTATTATTGTCATTATTATTATTATTATAACTAGAGTGGCAACAACCACCATTCTTAAAACACTTACTCATGAATTATTTCAGCATGAGCAGTTATTTGTTTCTCTTCTTGCTGTTTGATTTCAACATTTTTAAACAAAAGAAGTTTTATATACTTATTAAATAGTTGATAAACATTCGTTTTGCAAACTTCATAGATCTTGACTAACACTTGCTTCGCCTGTATAATTATTGAATAATTGATAACAAATTAAATATATTTTGCTAAAGATTTTTGGCGAATTGATTTTTTTTTTAGAAAACAGTATGACAAAACGTGGTTCTCCTAAAGAAGACGTGTTAATAACAGAAGTATTATTTTTTATTTGTATTGATATAATATAGCGTTTTTTATTTTATATATATTTTAATTGGAATCAAAATGCAGAGTAGGTAATAAGATTCTCATAAAGATGGTAAACAAATGGTAATAATAATAATAATATTATTATTATTATTATTACAAGATGTCAATGCAGCACACCGTTGAAAAGAAACAATTCGAGTATGTAAAGTTTGATTATCGGAAATTGGCAGACGTTGAAGCACGCATGTACCTTGAACACTTTACAGTCATTCTCACACATTCCTCATGTGCAAAAGGCTAATCTGAACCTGATTCGTTCCATGGATATGATGATGCAAAAGAATTCCAGGGGGTGGCGCATGGCGTTGGAGCTGCGAGACTGCATCAATCGTCAATGACATCCTACCTAATCTTCCCAGACCAGAGAAGGCTGCTGCCATGCTAGCCGAAAAGTTGCCTACCTCTAGGGTAAGGACGGCAAGCACAGGATATTGCAATTAATAGTGGGATTGGCAGCCCTGAAATTTCATTTGGGCTCTGATGTTAAGAGGAAAGTTGTAAAATAGTGTTTGTTTTGTAATTATTTTCCTAAATTCTCTGTTTCTTTAATACTAACCAATTTATAAGTTTGGGTAGGCCTATTCTATAGATTAAATTCATTGCATGTTTATATGCATATTTGTCAGCAATATGGCCAGCAAGAAAAAAGTCATAAAATAGTCAAAACACGAAAACTATATTAATATTGCATTTCTGAGCATAACTCTCAAATTTAAAAAATCCCATGAAATAATATATGGATCACGTAATATTTCAAATTTTTTAATTTTCGAATATTTTGAATATGATGTTAAACAAACATTAATGATCCCTGAAATTCTTGGTAATCAAAATGTTCACTTTGTCTGGTATGCCCCATGTTTTATTTTATTTCGTAAAATATGATGTTGATCTCGAGAATAAATAAAAATAATAAAATGGTGGCAGCGGTTATTTATTATATAATGAAAAATTCAACATGCGAGATTTTATATTTTTTACGGCAGTGAGATCAGCACAATACCAAATTTCTGTGTTTAAATCCATTCCCAAATCCAAAAAAATCCTGAACGATCAACAGCAGCATCATCATCCCAATACCTACCAATGATTCCAAATGCTGTCATAAATCCACAGAAATGACTTTTTTTATCACCGTTTTCTGGGTGGCTAGCACATTTAAACTTAACTCTTCTACCCTTATCAATCACACAAGATTCACCTTCAACTTGGTTTTTTTTACCTGAATCATCCATCAGATCACCTTTAAATATGTAATTAAATGTATGATCATTATATGGTTTATCAACGTCTTCAATCCCTTCAAAATCATCATAAGGCAAATCTATATTTTCATTATTTTCATAAAATACTAGATCTAAAACTATCAATTTTTCAACAGCCGAAATTGTTTCATTTGTACATAATCCTGTCCATAAACTAGGTGGTCCATTTGGCCAATCATATGCATCATTCCGAAGACAAAATAAAATTTTATTTGAACCATATATCTTAAAAATAATAATTTGTAATTAGAAAGTCATAATCCAATAACAATCATAACAATAATAATAAATGATATTTGATGGCTAATCAAACTCACATCAACCATATCTGTCCATTGTAACCATTTATCAGCTTTACGAGAATCAAACGCAAAGGATGAGGGTAACATTGGCTTTTTACAATCATCTCTAGCACAATATGAGAAGTAAATGTGAAGTGCGTGACATTCGAGCATAGGTAATATTGAATCATCGTTAGGATTCCAATTTATAACTCGTTCTCTTAATATTAATGACATTTGTTCAACAATTGTTTCATGCAATTTAGGATCTATTGAGCTTAAATGTATAAGTAAATTTCTTTATAATAAAAAATCATTTAAAGATAATTATCATCATCATCACAAACCAAATCCATATGCCAAAAGTATTGAAATAATTTTTAATGATATAAAAACACAAGCCAGGTGCTTTAAGGATGTATCCATCCTATTGTATAATGAAAGAAATACCCGGAAGCAAAATTCAGATGCTTTGAAATCTGATAGCTTTTTGGTGTTTTTGCCATCTATTTTAAATAAGTATTATTAAAAATAATTAAAATTAAAAAGATTTTTTGCGTTTTATCAATTACCATTCTCGGAGACTAGAATCCATAAACTAGTTAGTACATCTAATACATTGCCTATAATTGACTCTGATGGTGATGTTTGTCCAATATTGCATCCTTCTAATTGTAGAAGACTTGAGTTCATCATATCAATATTTGTCCGTGATCTTCTATAATAAATTTTTCTAAAATTACAAATTTTAAAGCGACGTTTTCTTGCCAAGATATCATACTCTTTACAGAATACATGTTCCCATAAAATATGATCTTTTGAAAACCTACACAAAGTTCTACAAGTTAATGGTAAAGAAATTACAGCGGTTTTAGGAAGATTCGGTTTCTCTAGCAATATAAGCTCATAAATGATTCGTAAAATTATTTCTGACGGAAGATGAATAAATGAAGTTTGTATTTGATTTTCAGCATCTATATTTTCTGGTTGATCAGAATCATTCGTTAGATCATATTCCTTAATATCTTCATCTGGTATTAGATCTATATATAATTTTTCTGAACTTGAAGAATCATCACTTTCATATTCACACGTTTCTTGAGCTGAGTCATTTTTTGACATTTTTTTTCAAAAAAAATTTTTATGGCTTTATTTGTTATTTATTTTAATAAAAATTTTTAAAAAAAACACTCAAAATCTTTTATTGCACACATTGTGAAGTTCAAGATGATCTGCAACGTATACATGCAATGTATATACGCGACGTGCACTCATTTATAGTTTAAGCGAGTAATAACTAAAAAACATGATCTATAAAAATAAAATCTAGATATATCGTGTTTAATATTATATATATCTAATCATTTAACCTTGTCTTTTAGGGTACCAAAACATTCTTTTAATGATGCATAATAAGCTATTTTGTTGATTTTGTTTATTGGCTACAACGACACCAATAATATTCCATGAAAGTTCATGAAAATCTAAATCATCACGAACTATTTCTTCTAACTTATCACAACTTAATGGATACCTTAAATTACCATTATTTCTGTCTCCTAAATAAACAGATGGTGATACTATTGAATATCTATATTTGCCTTGCTCCTCATTATACGATACTTCATATCTAATTGCAGTGATGAAGAAAGAAAGGTGACAAGGCGAATAAAATTATAATTCTATATATTATATAGAACATTATACATATAAAATATAAATTACCTTTCATCATCATTTTCCAAGTATAAAACTTCAGAATATAATCTATTAATTATATATTCACTGTCCGACATCAACTCGGGTGAATATTTATAGCTAATGATTAATTTTTTAGGGGGGTTATTATTATTATATGAAAATTTTTAAAGAAATAAATTATAATTAATTTACCAAGGATCATGTTCGTTATTAAAAATAATTAAAATGGCATTTTGATTATTTGACACATCAAAAGCCTTTTTTCTCATATCAAGATAATTTTTCTTTCTTTCTTTTATCCCTTTACTACCTTTTGATCTAAAAATTGCTTCACCAATCTAAATTAAAAAATGTATATTTTATTAATATATATATGGGAAGATTGATTCTTAAAGTTTTTTTTTGTTACCTGTATTTTTTCTACATTTTCAATTCTGTAACTAACTCCATCATGATTTCCCCAAGACCTACTTTTGTAATTGTTTCTTTCGGTGCCCTTATAATTGACCAGTTTTGGGTACGCGCGAATCGTAACATGAAGATCATAATTAGGTTGCTTTTGTAGTATCTTTGAGTTATTATATTCAGGAGGAATAAAAAATCCAGAGTGTATAAGAGCTTTAATACATTATTAATTTCACAAATAAATAATATTTTTTATTAATTTCATCAAAATCGTCATTAATTTTTTAAACAGGGAATGATTTTTTTATCTAATTACCTGCAACAATATCTGAATCATCACAATAAATATCTGTTCCCCATAAAAAATAACCTTTAACTTTATTATTATCCCATGTCAAATGTTCAGCCTGTATCCAAATTTCCAATAAACCATTTTCATTGAATTCCAACGGTGGAATAATTTCCTTGGGATTATAAAGTAAATGACCTTCAACATTCAAATCAGTATATAATTATTACTATTATTGAACATAAAAGTCAAAAACTCAGTAACAACATATTAAGCGAATAAATTATTAACAAACCAAGATGTTTTTCTTTTATATCGTTCATGTTTAAGGATTCATCATTATGAACAATCACATGCGAAATTTCTTCAAGTTTAGGAATATTATTATCTTTATGACCTTCAATTTTAACTTTTATATCGTCCTCATAATAATCACCATTATTTTCACTGTCATCATCATCATTTACATAATCGTTAAAAGAAATTATCTCGAATTTCTCATTTATTTTTTGATAATTGATTTCTTTTTATTATATATAGCATAATTTATTAAAAGCATCTTTAACTTATACATATTTTTTATAGGTGTTTTACTCTTCAAATTCAGTTGTATTTCAAGAAGCTGAAAATAGAAAATGGACAATTCTTGCTGTAATTGATGCTTTACTTGTAAAGAAAACGTTTGATTTTTAAAACTATTTTTATCATGTATTTATTTATTTATTTATTTATTTATGTAAGGAATGAACAATGCAACATTTTTCATATAAACTTTAGTTTTTTGCTTAAAAAGGAAATTATAAGTTTTGTTTATTAGCAATAATTAATTCTTTATTAAGAACGGCAACTCTACGACTAATACATGATAGTAAGCTTTTATGAAGAACCATCCACACAGAGTTGCAGTTCCAAAACCTTATCCGAGTTCCTATTAAAAATACTATTGCAAAATACATCCTTGGATGCCAGAGTTTCCATATATCATGAACGTCCCTCTATCCGTCATTTAAACACTATACATCTACCAGAAATAAAGACAAGTTAATTCTCAAAGTGTTTTACTATTTTTAAATGAACAGTTATTGTTTTATAACAGATAATAGCATACACGAAATAGTAATAGGTTTATTTCATTTTGACAATCATGGTTCTGACTAAATTTGGAAATTTGGAAATTTGAAATTCTAAATTAAAAAAATATATATTGGTTTTTAAAGGTAAAGTTTTTCAATAAATATGTGTTAGATACCCAGAGGGTTATTTTATAGAAGATAGATTTTTATTGATTATTATTTTCTTTTTTACAATATTTTTTACTATTCTAAATCTCTTATTATTTTCTTATACTGAAAACTGAGATCAAACAAGAATATACTTACAATTGATAAGCATAATCCCATATGAATTCTTTTGTATCATTAAAGGAAATTTTTCATTGACAGATTTTTTAAAATAAGTTTCCTATAATGAAAGACTTTAATTAGATATTTTCAAAGTCCAGTCAATGATAGTAATGAAGTTCTTCTTTATATACCTTCACCATTTCTATAATTAGTTGTTTAATATTATTGTCTTTGTTAATATTAATTGGCGTGGGACAGGGTTGGCAAATTGACTGGTCCATCGAGAATGGATGGATTTGGACTGGTCCATTGCCATTAATAAAATACTAAATATGGTTATAGTGCTACACTAATGGACCCAATGGACTACCAATAGACCATCAATGGACCACACATTTGCCAACCCTGATGTGGGATATGTCATCGTTATTTGATTTGGTGTAATATCAATATTGTAAAATGCTAAACTCACAAAATTAATGTTTATTTAAAAACTTTTTTACTCGTTATGAGGACTTTTTTTTCATTTTTCCATTTTTAACTAATTCAGAAATATTTTTTCCGTCACTGCCAATTATTCACTCTTCATTTACCAACTTATCCATATTTTCTTGATCTGAAATCTCATCATTAAATATTATTTACATCAATTATAGTTGGGGATTCTTCAATTATTGTGTGCAAGAATGTTGTGGTGTTCCTAAATTGGCCGAATTGTTTGAATAATCAGAAATAGGTTCTGTTGAAGCATTATTACATTCATCTGAAAAGGATTAGGTAATTTTTGATCTCTAATATAATATATTCATTCCCTTTAGAATCAGAGTCATAGTAGTGATGTTAGCCGGCTAAGCCTTTTACTACCTAAATTGGTAATTTTATTTCTATAACCAGAAGGTAACGCGGAAATCTATTACCAAATTTAGGGATTATGTATGCAGATTATTGGCCGGCTAACATCACTAAAAGTCATAGCAATAGTAATAGTACAATATATTAAATTGTAAATATTCATGCATGTACCAACACGGAAGTTACATAAAATAAACATAATAATAACTACCTTTTTGGTGACATTTTTCTCTCGATCTAATATCAATTGAATCAATTAATATAAATATTATTAAAATTTTATCAATTTATATATATAGTAATAGGCCAATACCAAGTGGAAGAGCACCGTCAAACAAACGTGCATTATCCTTGCTGTCAAAGTGATTAAACAATTTGTCATAAAATGAGTTAAAAAGTAATAGCAATTATAACAATAACCAGAATGATGAGTCATTCTTTCTAAATAGCTAGAGTGACGATAACCACCATTCTTATGATTAAATACTTACCCACTGCCTCCTTCAAATTCTTTATTTCTTCTTTGCTTTGATTTTTTGTCTTGTGGTATTAATAAGCGATGAATGTCAAAATTTCCTCTAAGAGGAAAATAGAATCAACAAATTAAAAAAAGTGAAGATAGCCAGCAAAAGGATGAAAGCTGAAAGCAATAAACGAGGATTTAATTATCACTAGCTTAAAAAAGTAACTAAAATATTTAAATGTGTAAGAGCCTAAATACTGGTCACGCTAAATAAAAGTCAAAGTAAAACAAATCAAACAAGTCAAGGCTCAGCATGAGTTTATGTTTTCAGATTACTGATGGATCAAGATCGCCAGTGTACTACATGAAATTCATTTGTTCACTTTATTATTATTATTAATTTATTATTATTAAAAATATTTATTGAAAAGCTACATCAAATTTCTCAGCATAAACTTTTCCACCGCCACTTGAGAATCCAGTACCTAAAAAAAATTAAATAAAATGTCAATTAATTGATTAATAATTATCAAAATAAAAAATATGACTTTCTTTTACCTTCACCAGACATGTCAGTGATATCTTTTTCTTTACATTTAAAATCACAAACAAAGCAACGTTTTGATTTTTTCACAAATTTATCAACGCAAATCTTACAAATAACATGACCACAAGGTTTTATCACTAATAATTATTAATATAAATAGTAAGCGTTTGATCCGGTATTTAAACATAATAAATATTAATATAAATATAAATATTTGAAATAAAAAACTCACAACAAATCTTTAAAGAATTTGTTAATGTTTTACGACATGATGGACAAATATAATGAATCTTTTTTGAATCTGAGTCTTTTGTTTCAGTAAATTTTGTCGCAACCAAATTTTTAACACTATTAAAAAATTTTTATTAATAAAATTGCAAAGCCCATAAAAATAATCAACAAATAAATACCTTAAAGAGTGTTCCGGATTAGTTGCAGTACACATTGTTTGTAATTTTATAGATTTAATTTTATCAGGATCAGCCGATGGTGTTAAAGAAGGCTTTTTTATAAAATCGTAAATAATATAATGATAATAATAATAACAATAACAATAATTAATTGATTTCTTAAAAAATTAAGAAATAATATAAAAAGGAACCTTACCAGCCAAAAATTAGGTAACTTTGGTTTTGACAATGCAATCTAAAACAAATGACTTGTTAAATAAATAAATATAAATATTATTACAATTAATTATTAATTATTATTATTATTATTTATTTCGAAACCTCTTCTTCCTCTATTTTTTTTAATGCTTCTTCTTTTTCACGTTTTGATACCGCTGCAAGATCTTCTTCATCTAATTGAAAACTTCTTTTTTTACTTGCAACTATAATATTTATACTTGTATTAATATCATATAAATTATATCATAAAAAACATTTTTAAATAAATAAATTCTACCTTTAGATTTATTATCTTCAATCAATTTTATTAATGACGATGGTGATGATGACGATAATGACGATAATGACGATGATGATAAAGATTTGTTTTCAAGAGTTTTCGTGTCTTGTTTAAATTCACTTGGGGTTATTTTTACTTGTTGCCTTTCAAAATCTTGTATAATGGCTTCTTTAGCCAGTCCATCCTTTCGTTTGACTTCTTCGATCTCATCTTTTGCCCTTTCTTCCAATAATTTTTGTTGACGTAGTATTTCTTTTTTTTGTGCCAAAATATTTTCTAATATACATTCTTTACAATATAAATGACCATGTGAACAACAAACAGGATCACGAGCTCTCTGAAGGCATAGATAACAAGCATCAACTTCACGCATTGAATCTCTTCCTAATCGTTGCTAAGAAAAATTAATGGAAATTTATTATGATTATTTAGATTGCAAAATGCGCTATTAAAGTATATATATACCTTTTTTGTCCCATATTCTAAGGATTTAGTTTCAGCATATGTGAAAAACGAAAGTGCTGTATTATTTTTGCTATGACGAGGCATTTCTAAAATTTTTTGGGGAAATGTAATAGTAATAGCTGCAATGGCGATCTTAATTCAAATTTCTATTTTAGTCAAACTTATTAAACACAAAAAATAATTTATTTCAAATTTTACAAATTTTACGTAAAATTTTTTTTTCAAATTATGGATCATTCTTCTCAAAAACGGCATATTTCAGAGGATCATTTGAACGATGAACAAAATCAACAAACTCTAAATAACTCTGAAACACGTTCTAAAAGGCCCAAGATTACATTACCACCACCAATGAATACTTTACAAACACCACAATTTGAAAAGATCGGCTCATGGAGTTTACCTCCTTTAACCTTTTCCTCCAAATTTCCTCCCAATCATTCTTCTAACGTGTTTGATCAGTCGCCACCACTAATACCAACACCAACAATATTCCATGATAATTCATGAAAATCTAAATCATCCCGAATTATTTCATCCAACTTATC